TTTTTTTAGCTACTTCCGATAATAAAAGCCAAAACAATTCTGTAACAGCTCTAAAAAACTCTTTGCTTCCCGTATATACTTTTTTAGTAACTATAATTATTCATTCCTGCAAATGAAAAACTGTTAAGCTTCATTTTCTGACGCAGGTTCAATTTCCTGCCCTTTTTTTCATCAGTTTCACTTTTATCCTCTAAATACAGTTGAAAATCGCTCCAAATTTGTTTTGAAAACTGAATATAACAGCACCATATAGAATTCCATACCATTTTTCAATGCATCTAAGACTCATATTTGTTTGACAATACCGTTGTATTGCAAAAATAACACCTTTAAAAAAAGTTATAAATAAATCATAAGAAAAGTTTTGTGGATCTACACAGAAACTTGTTTCGATTTTATTTCGTCATTCAACACTTGAATTTATATCCATCACAAATTCCTTAATAACTATCAAGTTTTCGTTGTCATCCACTCTTACCTCTTCTCATTCTAGACCGAAACTGTCTAGACAAAAACAATTCAAAGCGACAGTAATTTATATTCATTTACATCCCTAAAATTGAGTTGACCGCATAACACCATATCAGACAGATATAGGTTTGGCTACAAAGTACAAATGATCATTGACTAACATTTGGACTAGAACACTAAAATTAAGAGAAAAAATCCAATGTAGTTTGATCAAAACTTTAAAAGCAAAAATAATACAGACAGTTACGAAAATGCTAAACTCATAGAATTATTACGAGCCATTTAGCAGCAATAAATTTTCCTCCCTTTCTAATTAACAGTATTTTCGCCATTAAATTTTTTGCACAAAAAACCCTTGTTTTCTACTTACAAAACCATTTTTTTTTGAGAAAAATGAAAGTGTGCAGGAAAAAAAATTAGAAAACCACTTTATACAAATGTTCGACAGTAAAAAAAATGTGAATATACTTTTTCTTTTTGTTTCTATCAACACTTCAAATCTTCTAAATTTTTCTCTTTTGCTTATTAAATAAAATTTTGATTTTGCCCTTTTTTTGTTGTCTCCTACTTCTTTTTTTTTTTTTTGCAAAAAATTGAACCCCGTTTTGTTGCTAACAGTTTGTTTGTTGTAAATTACAAAATATTACAGATTTCTTAATCAATAAAACCCTTCCTTTAATGCGTTTTCCTCTTTCGTCCTACTCCCAATCCTCTTCGGCTTCCTTTTTTCCAGATTTCATTCCACCCTCGCTTCTCTCTCCTCTTCCGTTCCTTAAGTAACGAATAATTAATAATTTATTTCTATTCATAGATGTCTTATGCAATACACACTGTTTGTATTATTAAAAAAACTGCCATCAGTTGATTTGAAATGAAAAATTTATCCTACAAAAAACAGTAATAACAGCAAGAATATGCAACAAGGTAAAAATTTTTCTATAAATAGTCAATAGATTTTTCTATTTGCTTTTTTTTTTCAACTCAAATAAAATCTGTGAGAAAGAAGGACAAAGCAGGAAAGCACAGAAAGTCGTACTTCATTTAGAGTAGAAAAAAAGTGAGTCAAAGGAAAAACGTTTTTCCCATCGTCTTTTTGTCATCATTCACAAACTTTTTTCTCAGTGTTTGTACAATACCAAAAAACTATAAAACGACGAAAAAAAAAGGATCAAATCAGACCAAAGAAAAAAAAACCATTTTCTTACTGATGAAAGCTTAAAAAATTTGACGTGTAAGCATTTATTTCACTCCTTTTCTTTCAAACCCCGTTGAACTTATTTTACCAGTTGCAGCAGTCGTAGCACTAATGGAATGATCGCTTTGAATAGCGATCTTAAAAACAGCTATTTAAAGTTACACGCCAAAACATAATTAATTTATGTAAAATTTGAGGACTGAAAACAAAGAAAAAACTAAGAAAACAGATATTTCAAATGAACAACAACACCGACAAAAGGTACCTGAAATAAAGAAAGACTGTGTTCTTGAATACCTAAAATTAGGAGGTAAAGACAGTCCCGGAAATAAAAAACGATGAGAAAAACAGCTTGAAAAACTTAATATTCTCCCTAAACTACAGTAAAATTAGACATTTCGTAAAGGTTATAAAGCTTCGCGTCAATCAACGGTATTTCGAACGCTTATCAGTATTCACTCAGTCACATCGAAATAAAACACAAACAGAGTCAGTAAAAAATTTTAAAAAATTGGAAAAGATTATAGGTAAAAAAATTAAAAAAAAAAAACGCAAAAAAGTGTGTTAAATTATGGTTTCTCATTTTTCCCTTCGTCTCACTGATTTCAAACTGCTGTTTAAACTTGATAATCAGATGTGCAAAAAGAGCAGTTAATCCAGTTTATCCAGCTTGAGGTGAAACTAGAAGATCTGAAAAACTCTGGTCATATAGTTGTACTTGTCATTTAGGAAAACATTACAGAAGGAAGATTAAAAGCAGAAAACCAGCAAAGTCCCAGTTATTTCTTCCACAATTCTGCAGGTTTCTTAGAGCAGCTATTATACAGTTATAGTTTTTTGCTGATAACACAAAAAATATAGATGTTTAGGAGAAAAACCAAAATTTTCAACTGTTCCACAAGAAGAATTGAACGAAGACTGTTTATAAAACATCTTCCTCCGGATATTCGGCGAAAGATAACGCCTGCATGAAAAAGATTGTTATAAATTAAATCTGCTATTATAATTTCTTAATGGTCTGATGATAATGTAGTGAATAACAGTAGCAAATGATAAAGCAAAAAGTGCCTGCCTGAAAATTGAGAGAGGAAAAAATGGACTGCAGAACTAAGTTCTGCTAAACTTGCCAACCCAACTTGATAGTTTCATTTGTTGAAAATTTTTCACTTAAACCGAGACTAGGCAATATGAAAAAATCAGAAATGAATATTAAGTTGTTCCAGAAAAAAAAAACTTTACTTTGCCTACTCAAATATTCTTTCTTTTAAGAATACAGATCGCTGAACAAGTAGAAGGAAAAGTTTGGTATTGCTTGTTGCCTATTTTGAGTACTAATTGCCTCAGCAGTCAACTTTTTGTTGCTTCAAAAGCTTATGGAAAATTAATCACAAAGACTTG